ACCACTGTCACCACAAAGTTCCAGCTGCTTGCTCTCAGAAATCTTGCCTATTAGATCTTGCCCCAGTTCCATCCTCAAGGTCAGGAAGATGAATAATAGGCAAGAGGAATAAGGAGTTCAAAGTCTGGATGAAAATAGTAAGCTATCAACAGGGAGATAGGCTAGACATGCCACCATGAAATTAGCAATTTACAATGTCCAATGCCACATGCATTCTAGTCTGGAAACATCCAGGATTGATCTGTCCCTGCCTTTCTTGTTGTCATGATTCCTTTTCTTTTCCAACATTTTTATTTGTAATATTGCACTTCAGATCTAAAAGTCTTCTCTTTTCAGGACTCAGTGTAGTTTGTGTCTATATAAAATGATGATTTCCTCCTCTGTGTGGTTTATTCTATTTTTTTTCCTTGTGCAGGTATTCAAGGATCAATTGTTTTATCTGTTAAACTGATCCTGGTACCCTCTGAAGTTTACTCTAGACTATCCTTTTACAGAGAACTTTCTTCCTTATTGCTTCTATCCACCACCCCCTCAGATGCTCCTGCTCACTGAGCTTTTGATACTTAGAGGCAGTCTCTGTTTTAATCTGTACAACACTTTAAAATATTTGTGCTTTATGCTTTTAACGGATTCATGTTCTCCCCTCCACCACCTATCTGCAGACCCCAAATATAGTGTCCCAATCCAAAGCTTAGCAAATATATTACCCGAAAATAAGCCTGCTGAACACCAAAAAGAGCTTTATTTTCATTCAACCAGTCCCACATGCTGTGATTGTAAGCACACACACTAAATTTGCTGTTCCCTATACTTGGTTCACTGGATGGTGGCAATCAGATACAGCTCAACTTCACAATGCAGGGAAGTTTCTCTATAAGATGCAAAAAGGCTTGCAGACCTTAAAAACATGTGCAGTGGGAATAGAAATTCTGTAATAAAAATAAATAGACCTAAAGAGAATAATGGTCTGGAGCCTCCATGTGAACGATATTTTATTACATGTAATTATTCTTCCTTGATTGATGAGGTGGTAGATGAATGGTCTCAGCTACACTCATTATATACAGCAACAAATCCAAGAAAGGGAATGCAAGGACTGTACTTTTTAATTGCATGAACCCAAGCTTCATTATGACTGGCCCCACACTGTGTCTAACAGATAACATTTTAATCATTAATTAAATGATTAGTTATCTTATTTCTCTTTCAAATAAAAACCAGAGTTAGCTACTTGCTTTTAATCTATTTCTAAACCCCGATAAATGCATCCTAAGTCTAGAAATGCATTGTTTTATAGATTCATAGACATTAGGGCTGGAAGGGACCTCATGAGATCATCAGGTCCAGCCCCTGCCCAAGGGACAGGAAGTCAGCTGGGGTCAGATCACCCCAGCAAGATAAGCATCCAAGCATTTCTTAAAGGTATCAAGAGTAGGCGCTTGCACTACTTCTGGGGGAGTCTATTAGAGACTCTGGAGACTTGGATGGTAAAGTTTTTCCTTATGTCCAGTCTAAAACAGTCTTCCAGCAGTTTATGACTGTTAGACCTTGTCTTCCCTTGGGGTGCCCTGGTGAACAGATGTTCTCCCAGTTCCTGATGCACACCCCTTATGCCAGGGGTGGGCAATTATTTCGGGCAGAGGGCTGCTTACTAAGTTTTGGTAAGCCATGGAGGGCCATATGACAGGCAGCCAGGGACAGATAAGTATTAAGTTTCTAAATTTTGGGGGGGCCCTACAGGCTGCATTTTGCCCACCCCTGCCTTATGTACTTATAGGCTGCCAAGTCACCCGAGCCTTTGCTTCTCCAGGCTGAATAGTCCTATGCCTCTCAGCCTCCCATCATAAGGCATGTTCTCTTGACCTCTAATCATGTGTATGGCTCTCCTCTGGACTCTCTCAAGCTTCTCCACATCCTGTCTAAAGTGTGGAGCCCAGAACTGGATGCAGTACTCCAACTGCAGCCTCACCAAGGCCTAGTAAAGCAGGAGGATGACTTCTTTGGTCTTGCTTGAGATGTATCAGTAGATGCAATCTAGAGTGTTATTTGCTTCGCTGACTGTGGCATTGCATTGGTGGCTCATGTTCATTTTGTGGTCAGTCACGATTCCCAAGTCTCTTTCGGTCATAGTGCTAGTGACATGCATTTTTCCGTGATGAATGTCATCAGGTTTTGATCCTTCGCCCACCTTGCGAGCCTGTCTAGGTCTGCCTGAATCACCTACCTATCCTCTAGTGTGACTGCACTTCCCCATAATTTGGTGTTGTGAATTTAGCCGGTCCACTTCTGGCATCCAAATCCAGATAAATTATGAATATTAAGGAGTACTGGTCTGAGTACTGAGCTCTGGGGGTTGCCACTGGTCACCATGCACCACGCTGACTCAGTTCCATCAACTATCACTTTCTGGTTCCAACCATGGAACCAGTTCCACAGCCATCAGTCCATAAGGTAGTCAAGGCCACAGCTCCTGCTGAAGAAACTGGACTGTTTAAGTGATTAAAAGGTCTGTCACAATCTACCATAAGGAAGTGCTGCCCCCTACTAGTGTTCAGTAGCCTGTAGACAAGTGAAAATGTAGAAAAGTGCTCCTACAAATTCCAGAAGCCAATGAAGGTCATGAGACTAAAGTGGTGTACAGGTGTTAATTTTTGGCACTGGAAATTTCTCAGAAATTGTTCCGGGACAGTGATCAGCATAGCCATTCAGCCTGTGTTCTCCCTGCTTTACCCTGACCAAGGATTTATGTGGGAAGCAGATGCTGTTCCACCCCTCCCAGTCCTGGGGGCACTGGAGTAGTAGAGCTTAAAGCACCCTGTAGGGGGTGCTTCTCCCTCCACAGGGCACTTCAAAGGCTGTACCTGCCACCCCATGCATACCCTAGTCTGGGGAAGAGGTGGGGAGCATTGCCCCCTGCTCCCCCACTCCTTTCAGACCAGTCCCTGAGGAGAAAAGAGCATACAAATATTCATTCTTGTGAGACGAACTCTCTTGTAAGGGAGATCTTCCAGAAGGGATTTGTCGTGTCCCCCGCACTGCCCCAAAGGAAAATTGAACAAACACTTGTACACTTGTTATTTCTACTGGGAGAACAGCAATTCTCCTGGTCAAAATGTAACACTTGAATGCAGCATAAGCTACCAAGTTCTCACAAATTAAGAGGGAGGGAGTAATTAAAAAACAAAGGTTGTAAAGTTTAATACATTAGAGTTTGTAAACCTATTGATACCCTCCAACAAACGTGCCCTGGAAAGTAAACATCACTTGGTCTTCTACCTAAGACAGCCTTAAAGTGCTTACACAGGTGAGAAATAATCACTTCCACGAATTACTTCTACTGTATCAAGACTTAGAGACTAAATTGAAGTGGTAGCACAGACAAGAAAATCATACGCTAAAGCAGGGGGTAGGCAATCCCCAGCACAGGTGCCAGCATGTGGCACATGAAGGCATTTTGCTTGGCACACGCACCTGGGGGCAGATGGTGGGGAAGGGGCTGGGGCTGCACTGCCACAAGGATTAGGCCCCTTCATGGCTCCCCCGTTTTCCATTCCTGGCGCACCAGCATCTTACAAGTCAAGACTGTGAGTGTTTATGGCACTGCCCCAAAACACCCCTGGCACTAAAGCTTGAAGTTTTAATTTTTCTCCAGTCAGTTAACCTAACTGTAATCATAGACATCATCTTTGCTAAAAAACAGATAATAAAATTGGTCTTCCTGACCTGAAATGTCAGCTAGCTATCCAACTGGAGAAATGAAGAGGACAGTATAGGAAGTTAAAAGTCTAAGATGTGAGAGTGCAGATCCTATTCTATCAAGGTCAAGGTCTCTTTTAAAAAAGATAAATAAATAAAATTTAAAAAGCTGTTAATCTGTCTATATTTGTAACCTACTGCCATCTCCACCTTAAGAATAAGTCACCAAAAAGCAGCAAAGAAGACAACTCACCCCTTTTTGCATTAGTTGCACTGCCACCCTACCCTCTCTCCGGGTACTCAAACAGGGTACCAAATAGGTGGAACAGGATCTAGCCTTTAGTTACGACTCAGGTCAAGATAGCGCAATTCAGCATCTTCAAAAAAGGAACAGGGCAGGAGCAGTAAAAGAAAGAAAAAAAAGTTCAAATAGATTCAGTCCAGGAAGTTATTATGCAGCAGTCCATCCTCTGGAGTTAGGTATATTTAAAAACCATTGCCAAAATGTAAGTTTCAGACTGATTTCATACAGATTTTCAGGATGTAAAGGACATTTCCCAATCTCTAAGTACAAACAAAATCCAATCATGTTGGGTTAAAAAAAACAAAAAAACAAAAAACAAACAAACAGAAAATCAAGCTTAGAACAGATGATAATGCAAATAAGATTTATAACACAAATAAGCAGATTTATTTTTTAACAATTACTAAAATATAGTTTAAATCATTTGCAGTCATTGATTATTTCAAAGCAATATAATAATTCACATCAGTTTAAAAGAAGCATTCAGACAATGAAATGTTTGTAAAATTTAAAAAGTGTCTCTTCTTCCTGAGCTATTTTATGCATTTAAAATTGTAGCACTTCCATACCTCTTTACTTGTTAAGTACCTCCACATAAAACAAATTAGCTGCCAGCTTCCAGTTCTTACAAAAACAGGAAACATAATTCCAAGTCCATGGAACTGCATTTACATTCATGGTGAATTCAGCCCATTCCAGATTACAAACAGAACCTTTTGTGTTCTTAGTCTCAAAACAGATACTTAGTGGCCCTGAAGCCTCCTATAGGATGTTTTCCCGTTTATAAAGCCTGGTATATTTGTATAACAGGGTAGCATACAGAAGCTCACAAGTAAAGTATAAAATTTTAAAAGTACGACAAACCTGGCAGCCATTATAAGAAAATATGTCATAAATTTGGAGCATCTCTTTGTGCATTCTTCAAACATAAGGAATGATAAATAATCTGGCATAGTCAAGGAAACTAACAGCAGAGAGAAAGTATGGCAGTTCCTCTCTGTATTTACAATACAAGTATATTAATATAATTTTAGTATGTGGTAGATTTCAGGGATTTTTTTTTTTTTTTTTTTTTTACATGAGGCACTCTATACAATGTGCTAAATAAAACAAAATATTTGTTTCTGCAAAAATGTAAATAGGAAACAACAGGTTTACTGCACACATCTGGAAGAGGTATCTTTACAGGATCGTGATATCACATTAACAAACAGTAATAAATGCACATTTTGTCAATGAAAAAATACTTTCAACTTTCTAATAAAACCTCTTGACTTGTCCAAAATAACTTATTCACAATTTGCACTTCTTAGGCATTTTAGAGCAGATCCAGCAGGGCGTTAGCATGCACTGGACCAGCATTTAGAATTTCTCCTTTGTTCTGTATCAAGTTCTGAGCCTTAAAAATTGTGATTTGAGATGCACTGCAGGGTAGATACACTGATGGGTTATTTCTGAACTGACCTGTTGATGGATGTTTGGAGCAGTCACTTCATCTCAGCTTCTCTAACTCTCTAGAACTGTTTTGTAAAAGGTTCACTTAAACAATTACATCTTCATTTTGAGAAGTCTGCTCTGAAGCAGAACATTTTTTAGATCTTCTTAGAATGGTAGAAATACAAAAGGTAACTGATACCCAAGCCATAGTTAGCTGGAACAAAAGAAAACCTATGCTTGGATGCATGCAGCCTCATTAAATACTATAATAAGATTTGGCCTGAAGGACAAGGGAAATTTATTTTGGTCAATGAGTTTGCAAATTCATTAGTTCCATTACCTTGTCAAAATCAATGTCAATACTACTTCCTAGCATAGAAGACTTCCCAGAGTGTAATTAGTCTACTATACCAAGACACCTGGATAGCCATGTACAGTTAAAAAAAACTTCCATCTACAGAGCACCAGCCCTCAGTAAATCACTTGTAGTCTAATTTATCAAAAACTATATTCCACCATTACACTCTCCACTTATCTAGAGGAGCCCTAGTTCCTTTAAAAAGAATAACTTTACTGGTCTGTGCTCAAACACTGTTGTACAGCCTTAGCTCAGCAGCTGCAGAAGTTCTACCCAGCCCAGCGACCACAATTGTTTTTGTCTCCCTTTCTTTCCACAACTGATTTTACTTATGATTAGCAGCTCTGAGAGAGAGCACTTTCTGGCCAAACAGGTAGAACCAAGTGGGATATACGACTCCACAGTCCGCTCAGCTTATCTGTGTCCATGTGTTTATAGGAGCTGGGAGTATCTGAATTGGTGAATTTGGCCCAGAGGAAATCACGCACTTTCTCCTCAACATCCCGCAGGCTGAGATTCTTTCCCAGTGACTCCTCATCCAAAAGGACAGTCAACAGAAGAGTCACATCCTTAAAGGCTGCATTTTCGTGGTCGCAGTACTTATAAAAGATCAGGGTGGATCCTGCAGGCAGCAATTCAAACTGATGCACCACTGCTGCCTTCTTGCCGCTCTCAAAACCAGAGCTCAGCAGTTTATCTACATCCAGCTTTGCTGTATCGCTGTCCTGTGACACTGTACTTGCACAATCAATCTCAATTGTGTCAGTGCTCAGGGAGGAGGAGTAGGCTTCTGCGATCTTGTTACTTAAGCACTTCAGAGCACTTTTAGCTTCTTGGGCAGCTGTAAGCAATAAGATTGCAGGCTCCGAATGGGAATGGGAATTATTGAGACGTTTCTCAAGGAACAGTTGTATCCTCTTCCACAGCTTTTCATCCTGATTTGGGTAGACATTCTTAATTTTTTTCATCTCATCCTGGAACATTTGCAGAATTGGAGAACCTTTAATTGGCAAAATCTTGGAGGATTGAGTCACCCACATAGAACACAGGCCAATAGTGAATAAAGCCACAACTACCAGAATCCACATCAAAGACCGCTGGTTACTCGACTGTCCACCAGGCACTGCACAAAAAAAGGACAGTGGGAAAGGGTGTGGAGGGGGAAGAGTTATTTCTGCAGTATGGATAAAGTGAACTGTTGAAAAAGAATTTTATACTTCCACTTAACTTATTTTAATAAAAACTAGTGTAATAAGACATAGGCAATTCTAAAAAAAAGAAAAGAAGAAAAATGACTCCCATATTCTAATCAAATAAGCACACAAGTCAAAAAGATAAACCTTAAAACAAATCAAATTTGCCCCCAGGTTTAGGTTCTTCAAGATCTAGTTCTAGCAGGGATATGAAAATTATTAAATACAAATAAATATTCAATTGATCTGAGGTAGAAGTCTTACTTTTAGTTGCAGATTGAACCTGCTTGTGTACACTGGATGAATCTCTATATTCAGCTTCATCTGTTGAAAAGATTGGAAGAAAATTAGTGACAGACTCCTGATATGTTTATTAGTGAAAGGAAAGGCGAGTCACAGAAAGAAACTGATTTTAGCTTTAAACTCAGTCTGGTTTCTTCTTTTCGTAGAAACAAATTTGACAAGTAAAGCATGTAGCAAGACTAAAATCTAACACACTTGCCTCACTAAGAACACTGAGTCAGAATGGTCTCGCTAGAGAGGCATGAGGAAGTTGCTATAACCCCAGTCCAATTGCTAAGGTAGCAAAATTGTTATTCAAAATTTCTCTTTGCGTTTCATCAAAGTTCAAGGTCAGGCCTAAATTGACTTCAAAGATGAGATTTTCACAATTCACAAGAGATTTTCACAATTCTTTGCGTGTGTCCAGACGAACATGGCCATGTGGTACATGGTGCCGCAAACACATCTGTAGTGCCACATACCACAGCCAGGCATTCCCCATGCTGCAAGTGCATGTTCCCCATGTATGCACTGCTCTGGTTTTTTTTGGTCCCCTGGATATCCAGGGGTCAAAAAAACCCGCAGAAAAAAAACAAACAAACCTGGAGCAGCACGTGCTTGGACAGCCTGCACTACTGAAGAGAGACACCAGGCCACCTGAAGCCGTGCTGTGGCTGGGGGGCCGGGCCGCG